GTGAGCAGAGTTTCCTCTGCACTGCGGTGAGATGGGTGAAAAAAGGAGTCAAGACTTCCTTGGGGCCAGAATTCGGTGCTGTGTCTGGACGCATGTGGTTGGCTGTGCTTTGCTGGCCAACCTCTCAGAGGCACAACCACTGCAAGTGACTGCACGAGGAGGCAGAGGCCTGCATTGAGTGCGGCGGTGGTGAGCATCGCAACAAACTGTGTGGCAACAATCAAAGAGGCAATCTCCTCCCTTCCAGGAGGCACTTCACTCCACACACAGTTAGCTTCCAAGTGTGAGTCACTGGGAGCACTGAGGGTGACAATCATTGGTCATGATGGACACTTTTTTTTCCACGAGCACGGACGCCGTGTGGGCATGGTGCCCAGGTCGGGAGGGAAAAACAGTCTGATGGTGGAGAAAATAACAAGAACCACAAACACAACCCAAAAAAACACAACAAAAGGCCCAAAGCCGAGCCACCACCATCATGCAGTCTTTCCTCTGTGCTGGGTGAAACAGGTGAGACAAAAAAGAGTGGGCCTGAATTCACGAACGAAGAGCATATCGGCGCAGGTATGTGCTCAAGCAAAGTTGTGCCTCTTTGTACAGCAATGTCATGGCATGGCCGCTAAGGAGAACTAAGGTTCCCCCTGGCAACCTTCCATCACCATTCTCTGCCACCCGCCTTTTGGAAGCGAAAGCTGAGGCTCTCATTCCTGTGGGCTTACTGAAGTGTTTGATGGTGAGACTGAAAATGATGGCTTGAGCTTTCTTGAGCCTGGGTTCCCGAAGACACAAGCGCTCTTAAAGCAAGCTGAACAGACCATACCGGTGCAGGGATGGGAGCATGGGGCGTCAGCCCAATGGTCACCATTCCCGCACTCAGAGTGGAACGCCACGCATACAAGGCAGGTGGAAAGAGTGAAGGACCCAAGAAACAAGGAAAAAATTGGGGCAGTAACAGCGTCTAGAAGACTCTGTCAAACTCTCACACGCTCGAAAACGCCATCAGTCCATTGTGGACCACGCCTTGCGACACCCCGGATGCTGGCAGAGACTGTCTCTACTTTGCAATGAGTCCACAAAAGGCTTCAAAGGGACCTCACTTCACAATATGAATGACCAGCAGCCACACTCCAGTGCGGCAAAATCATAGTCACGATTCAGGTTAACACCCCCGTACGGAGTGTCGCAATGCTTCAACGTCGACTTTATCCCTGGCAAGTGGGGTGGCGTGCCCATGCGGCATGCCGTGGAAAAGATCTTTCTTGTGGCACAACCCGTTCAACTGGTTGCACTTACAAGTCCAGTGGCATGCTGCCGGCCATAATCGACGAAAGCCTGCAGGTAAAGGTGCGAAAAGGTCCCCCCGAAGGGAGGTCAGCCTGGCACAGATTGGCACTCAAAGGTGCCAAATAGCAAGTGGTGTCTGCCTCTTTGTACAAAATTGGAAATGTCGGCATTGGTCATGATGGACACCATCTTTGCACGATTGGCTGAGTCTTGACTCCCACAGACTTTTTTTTGCGTGTTGAGGTGCTGTGTGTGATGCAAGTCACCTGACGCTGGAATTCTTCAGGCACAGTGGCGTTGGTTTCGAGGTCCTCGACGGATCGTCTCAAGAGTTGGACTTGGAGAACATTCCACTCGACGAGGACAGCTCATTCTCGAGCGTGGTGCTTGCAAGAGAGGCAAGATGTCATGGTGTGTGATGAGATTCCAACGGTCCGCCATCGACGGGTCACTCACGCGTTGGTTTGCGACAATTATTGCCGCCCAGAATCTCTAGAGTTTGATGGCCAGCGTTGGAGAACGGTGGCAGACGTTGAAGACGTCAGAAGCCGCATTTGTTTTAGGTCTACTGTCCGGATCAACAGTGGATGCTTGAATTCCTGCGTCCTCTTTCTCTCAGTAACACTTCTTTCCGTGTGGATCTTCAATCTCTCGTAACTTGGGCTCAAGTCGCAGTGATGGATTTGCAGCTAGGGTGCAGTTTGCTGTGTGATAGGCCCACCTACCATTGGTTTCAGCTCTTCCAATTCTCCTGAGGGTTTGGATCTCAGTCCTGATCCTCGACGGTGCGAAGGGTTATGTGGGTCGAACATGCCAGATCAGTGGCAGCCGGGTCCCGGGGACTGGACTTTTCCGCTTTTCGCGCCTAGTCTGCAGGCACTCAGATTATGAAATACACTATGCAGCTCAATGTGCGAATACACAGCTTCCATTGCGACTTGCGGTTGCTGGCTTTTGTGCGCTGCGCCGCCTCCAAGCACTTACGGAACAGGATGGCAGGACATGCTGCACCTCATGCACGTCTGCTCAGAGAACTCACAACGTGCAAGAAATGTACGTGCCTTGGCGTGTGACATCCAACGGACTCTGCAGAATCTGCACAGCAACCATCAGCAACTGTATGTTCAGCCTGGCATCAACGCATGCTGCACGCTCACCAGTGAAATGGATTTAACTAGCCCTCGCACTGGGGTTTTGACCCACATACAGGGCATGGAAGAGGTAGTGCAGTTACTACTCTTTCCAACTGGCAGATTTTATCTATTTATTTCACATGGTCAGACCTTTGGCTATTCTGGATACGAGACTTGTCTTCCCAGTTAAGATTTTTTCCTTCACGGATGCTGCGTGAGGAGACTAGCCTGCGGCTGTTCAGGCTCAAGGTTGGTAGTTGCCCCTGGACTTCCTCCCAGCAAGTAGTGAGCCATTATCTACATTCCCTCACTGACAATTCGGATCTATTTGATGCACACTTTCACTGGTGGTGAGAGCACAGTAGCAATGCTGCAATTTTGGACTGTGCCATTCTTCCCATCTTTTTCATTCTTGCCTTTTTGGCGGTGCTACGGCACTCACAGGGTGATAAATGGCTAATCATTACTTGCAACAGCACATGCAACTTTGCTCGCTGGGCTCTTATGCCCCTGATTCGATTGCACCTTGCTCCGCTTCATGAAGAACAAGAAGTACTGAGCGTTTTGCGGAATTCATCGCCCCTGTCTCACCTTCTTCATGCCTTCTTGGCTCTCGGAGCTGCGCTACAGGTAGCACTCGGTTTGGGTCTTGTTGTGTTGTTTTTTGGTGGGTTTTGAGTTGCTTTGGTCCTTTCGTGTTTTGTGCAACCTGTCTAGTAACTCCTTCTTAACTCGACTAAGGTGACTTGTGCATGACCTGCACACACAGCGCCTCCACTCGTGCAAAAAAAAATAGTGAGCTATTGTCCACAGTTTTCACTCAATGGCCCTTCCTTTCATTGTTGGCCCCCATCAGTGCTCTCTCACCCATGGGTCTGACACCTTCTTCTTCATGCCTTCTTGGCTCTCGGAGCTGCGCCACAGGTTGCAAGCTTGTTGCCATTTTGTGCAGCTGCGTCCACCTGGAAGAACAGCAAGTAGCACTGGACACGTTGCCCTTTTTAGGGAATTTTTTCCACGAGTACGGACGCCGTGTGGGCATGGTGCCCAGGTCATCGTTGAAGGAAGGGAAAAACAGTCAGATGGTGGAGAAAAGAACAAGGACAACCAAAACCACACAAACCAAACAAACCGCAGCCCACAGGCCGAGTCTCCACCATCTTGTGGTCTTTCCTCTGTGCTGGGTGAAACAAGTGAAACGAAAACTAATGACTGTCGTCAATGGGCCTGAATTCTCGAACGAAAAGCATGGCAGCGCAGGTCTGTGCTCCAGCAAAGTCTCCAGAAAGGGTTCAAATGGACTTTACTTCATGAAAACAAGTGACCAGCGGCCACTTCACAGCGTGGCAAAACCATGGTCACGATGCAGGTCAGGAGTATCG